CAGCGTCATGGGGAGAGGGCAACTTTAAGCGATACCGAGACACATCACAAGATGCCTCGGGTTTGCTCATTCTGATATTGAAAGAAATTATGTCATTGAGGGGGCTATCTAAGCTCTAAGCTGCAACCGGCCGTGGAAAAAGGGATATCTCATCGCGCAACTTTCATACACAAACTCAAGTCATGACGCTTTTCGTTATTGTTTTTCACTGGTACTGCTGCTTGTGGTCTCCCACGCCGGGACGAGGAACGTTATCCTCGACGTAGCCCGGGAGCTGCTCGTCGCCCAGAGCTCCCGAGGCAGTCGGGCCGCTCTGGGGAGGGTGGGATCCCAGCGGGCCACCCTGGGGGTACTGACCGTAGCCCTGAGGCGGCTGTCCGTATCCCGGGGGCGACTGCTGGCCGTAGCCCGGAGGTGCCTGGCCGGGGCTGGTGGCCGGAACGGGGCCGGTGGCTGGCACGGGAGCCGGGGGAGGCAGGTTAGCCTCGGGGAGGGGCTGCTGCGCCTCCGCGGTGCGCAAGGCCTCGTACAAGAGGTGCGCGCCGCCGGGCCACTGGCCGGCGGGGCCCTGGGGAGGGACCTGGCCCTTGATGATCTGGTCGACCGACACCTTCTGGCCGTAGAAGGCCGCGTTGGCGTCCTTGCGCTCGGTGACGACGGTGCCGTCGACCTGGACGCCGGCGTAGAAGCCGCGCGACTTGACGTAGGAGAAGTTGGGCTTCAGCGACGTGCTGCTGCTCCTGCGCTTCGCCTTCTTGTCGTCCTCGGGCTTCAGCTTGCCGTCGTCCGCAGGCTTGGCCGCAGCAGCAGCAGCAGCAGCAGCCTCGTCCGCGGCCTTCTGCTCGCCCTCCTTCTGCGACTTGCCGCCGAAGCTGGCGCCGACGTCCATGACGCCGCCGGCGCCGTAGGGGCCCGCGACGACGGCGACGTCGGAGCCCAGGCTGACGCGGTTGCCGAGGAAGGCGTTGAGGGCCTCGCGGGAATTGATGATGAGCACGGTGTCGTGGATGTCGGCGCCGATCATGAAGCCGGCGCCGACGGCGTGGACCTGGATGCCGGAGGGCGGGCCCCAGGAGCCGTCGGGCAGGCGGGCGATGAGGACGCCGGAGCCGGTGGCGCCGGAGAACTGGAAGCCGGCGCGGAAGGTGGTGAAGATGGCGAGGCCGACGGCCTTGTTGATCACCTTGCTCGGGATCTTGACGATGGCCTTTTGCTCCTTCTTGGCCTTGTTCGGGGTGACGGGGCGCGAGGAGCCGCTGCCGCTGGCGTCGGTCTTGCCGGGCTCAAGCTTCTCGGAGGCCGGCTGCTGCTGCTGGGGCGGGACGTCGGATGCGATGCCCTCCTCTGCGGTGCTGATGTTAGCCTTGTTCTGGTCTGACGGGGAATGATGGGGAGGGGGAGGGACGTACTGCAGAAGCTTTGCAGGATCTTGGCGGCCTTTTCGCACTCCTTGTCCATGGTGGTGGGCAGGAAGCTCTGGGAGCCCATCTTGTTCGCCATGGCGTTGATGGGGCCGGCGGCCTTCATGCCGATTTGGGTCAGGCGCTCGCCCCATCCCTTGTGCTGCTTCTGGGGCTTGGTGGCCTCGGGGGTGGTCGCGGCGAAGGCGGCGGCGGCCTGGGAGGCGGCGGGGTCGGTGTGGTCGGCGCCGGGGGGCGTGTAGTGGTGGCCGGCGCCGCCGTACTGGGCCGGGTTGTAGTCGGCCTGGTGTTGCTGGGCCGGAGGAGGAGCGTATTGCTGCTGCTGCTGCTGCTGGGGCGGGGCGCCGTATTGCGGCTGCTGGGTTTGGGGCGCGTGGGTGTACTGCGGCTGGTTCGCGGGGGGAGGGCCGGGAGGCGGCGGGGGGAAGTACGGCTGCTGGCCCTGTTGGCCGGCGGGCAGCTCGGTCTTTTGGTCGGTGGGAGGGGGAGGGAAGGTCTGTTGCTGGTGCTCGCCCGTGGGGACGGGGGGCTTCTCGTTGTTGGAGGGGCCTGACCACGACATGATTCAGGACGTGCGAGGTGTTGTGGAGGTGTTGTGCTTGTGTGGGCTTTGGGTATCAGGTGTCGAAGAGGTAGAGCAAACGAGAAGGTGATGCGAGGTAAGGTAGGAGAGGAGGGGGGTGGGGGGATTGGGTATCGTCTGATGATGGATGAGGCTGGTGATGGCAGAAGGGGGAAGCAGCTGCTATGGAGGTGATGGCAACTGTTTTTGTATGTTTGGGAGATGGCGAGCTGGACCCTGTTTTATTTTTTGTTTCTGGATCTTCGGGGTCGCCAGACGAAATGAAGCTTGTTGAGGGTTTGGTGTGGCGCAGAAGTGTCGTCAACGTGGATATCGCGGCCCTGTGAGGCTTAGATGGAGCTTCTTTTGGACGGAAGAGAGTCAGAGAGGCCTCTTGTTTGCGAGAAGTGGCGTCAGTTTCCACGTATTAGCTGGTGGTAAGGTACCAAGAGCTGCCGTGACAGCTCACCACTGCGGGAGAGAGCGGCACAGAGAGGGGAAAGCGTGGAGGGGCACAATTAAACGTCATAGTGTGGCTGACGGGGGAATAGTGGGGCATATGGGGCAGTAGCGTGTGGCTGAGCCGGGCTTGGAGAGCACGCGATTCGTTTGCTGTGGCCTCGCGAAGGGAATTAGTGGGTGTTGACGGTGTGCAATGTGTTCATCCCTGCTCGCTCAAGTTCCCGCTCTGGCTGGAGGGCATCCCCGCGGCCGCCGATGAATGCTGCTGCTGCCGGTGATGCTGCTGCTGCTTCGGGGTGAGCGGTGCGGATACATATTGCTACACCCGCCGCCTGTTTTGGACGATTTGCTTCATGAGAGAGTGTTCAGAGTTCTGGCCTGCATCTTTTCCATGCGGATGGAAGAACTATCGAAGGTTGTGGAAGCTTCATTCCCGAGGTGACACCAGGTTGGGCGCGAGTCAATTGCTGCATCGAGACTGAGTTCCGTCGCTGGAGGGAACAGAGTTCATTATGAAGCTTCTCGCTTGCCCCAGCCGAACGTGTGAGAGTGGGCAGATGAGTTTGTTTCGGTACAGTTGATACAGTCTCGCTTCTCACGCGATGCATCACTTGCAGCACAGATGAGATGACGGGCGTTTTTCTGCCTGCATAGCGGTTCTGTCTCTTTCTCATCAGGTTTCCATAATGCAGATGCTGGATGACGCCTAGTTGGAGACGCAGCAGCAATAAACATGGCCAATTGGACAAATCCGCTTTCGGTTTCGGACCGGACGCTGCTAATGTAAAGAATTCGGGGACTTGTTTTCTTTCTTTCTTTTTTCTACGCAGCGGGCGGCGCGGGCGTGCATTGCATGTGCTTCCCTTCCATCGGACATTCTCCCAGCCCAGGTCCGTCCGCCCGGTCCGGACGCGCGCATCCCCAGGGTAGACAGACGGGTAAGCCCGCCGGACCTTTGTTTAGATCTATCTGTTCTGACATTTGTCCATGTCTGGCATTAATTCATACATGCGTTTGACTTGTTTCCCGAGGCTGATAAGGAACGGCGACTAATCAGGAAGACGAGTCGTCGTCGTCGCAGCAGGCGCACTCAAAATCGGGCATTCGCAGGGTGCTGCCTCGCGCCGAACCTCCGAACGGCCAGCCATTCCCCGGTTGAGAGCGCAACCTGAGTTGCCGCTTCTGGGCAATCCCGTCCAACCACAAGCTTTTCCCGGTTGGGGCAATTTGGCTTTCGTCTTATGTCGACCGGTATTCAATCTCTTTTAGCGTTCGAGAAGGCTCCCGTCTTTCTATGTGATCCACGACAAGTGTCTGATGTTCGGTGCCGCTTTCCGCTGCGACCAGCCCGCTGGGTCCAGACAAGCTTTTGTGATGCTGCAGAGCTGCGTTTGAGACACACGCTGGACGAACTTGCCTCGGCTTTCGATGAAGAGTTGCCAGTTTGAGGGGGATGGTTGCGAACCGAGGGAAGGGAGCAAGGAGAAATCTGAAGGTTTGGATTCTTGGTCATCATGACAGCAATTGTGTCTCGCCTTTCACCCGGTCGGCCCCCAAAATCTTGATTTCTCTTATTTAGACAGCAGCGGCATCCGGGTTCCGGAATCCTCACACTCGCCGTTTCTCGTATCTTTAAAATCTGACCGCACACCCGCTTGCTCTCTGTCGAGTGCGCGCGCCCGGCCTTTCCCCAAGTCTGACAGCACAAGCGGTTTGCGATTGATTTGCGCCGCCCAGAGAAAGATAAATAAAGAAGACGAGACGATTTGCGAGCGCAACAAGCACAGCAAGCAAGACAAGCCCCACGCCGAACAGGCCAGGCTGCAACAGGACAAGCCTGGTTGTCAATCTCACTTCGGGGATAGAAAGAGAGAGAGAGAGATCTACGCCTGTTGATAATCACGTCTATTGGAGCTAGACCACCGAACGACAGGCAGCCAGACAGCCCACTTCGGCGATCGAAAGCAGGACGAACCTCACAACGAGGCACCACCGTTCGGAGCTCCGGCCGGTGAAGCGTCGACGCACCGGACATTGACGCGACCTGAATCCATCGCCCCGCAATTTTAGAGCGACCTGGGCGCCTGTCCCTGCGCAAAAAAAAAAAAAGACGCCTTTTGGCTTTTTTCCTGCTGCTCACTTGTTGAGGAAGAGTGTCGATCTGCTTATCCGTACTATCGTCCTCCGTGTGTTGCGTCTTATCCCAGACGTTGAACGAGCGCAGACGGCTTCCGAACCGGGCACTTTCTTTCCCTTCCTTTCCCCCTTTTTCTACACACCTATTACCCTCGTGCATAACCTCGCTCACTCTATTCTCTCTTCTCCCTCTCTCTCTCTCTTCCTCTCTTCCTCACTCAGTCTCAGAGACAAAAAGATACCCCGAACGAAAACACCCTCTCGGTCCCGAGTTGACAACCGCGCTTCTTCTGCCCACGAACCCCAGCAGAACCAACAACTTACACCCACGCACCCCAACCACTCTCCTCGCCCCCGGGGACCCCATCAACAAACACCTCAACTCATACAAACAACCCCGGTCTTGCCGCTCCCCAACAATGCCAAGCGCAACGACTCCGCCCGGCTCCGGCCCGGACACCACCCTGCACCTCCCGCGCATCCTCTGCCTCCACGGCGGCGGCGTCAACGCCGCCGTCTTCAAGGTGCAGTGCCGCGCCCTCATCGCGCGCCTGCGCCCGCACTTCCGCCTCGTCTTCGCCGAGGGCCCCTTCATCTGCGCCCCGCACCACGACATCGTCTCCGTCTACGGCGACTACGGGCCCTTCCGCCGCTGGCTGCGCTGGCTGCCCGAGCACCAGCCCGTCGTCGACGCCGAGACCGCCTCCGCCGAGATCCACTTCCAGCTGCGCATGGCCATGGACGACGACGACGCGCTCGGCGCCACCGGCGAGTGGGTCGGCCTGCTGGGCTTCTCGCAGGGCGCCAAGATCAGCGCCAGCCTGATGTACACGCAGCAGATGCTGCGCCAGAAGTACGGCCGCCGCATCGCGAGCGCGGGCGGCAGCGCGGACTGGAAGTTCGGCGTGCTGCTTGCGGGCCGCGCGCCGCTGATCGTGCTGGATGATAGGATAGACGCGCCGCAGGGCGTGGGGGACGCGGCGGAGGCGAGCGTGGTGTTTGACGACTGGCCGAATGGGAGTTCGACGGATCATGTGTTGAGGTTGCCGACGATTCATGTGCATGGGCTGAAGGATCCCGGGTTGGAGCAGCACAGGCGGCTGCTGAAGGAGTACTGCGAGCCGGGGTCAACGCGGTTGGTGGAGTGGGAGGGGAACCACCGGGTGGTTATCAAGACTGTGGATGTTGATGCTGTGGCGAGGCAGGTTTTGGAGCTGGGCGCGGAGTTGGGGCTTGTGAGGGATATCGAGGCATGATTGATAACTGCATAGCGTTTGGTTCTTCGGGCATTTTCATTATTTTTTGGGTTGTATTTACTTTGTTGCGTCTGATGGATATACATAGACCGGAAATACCACGTCGTCGCTTTGTTGTTCTTCACGTCGTGTACACTCCCGTCGGCACATCGTGATACCCTCTCTTGCCGACTACATGCGTCAGCTCGCTCCTCCAGTCCTCGCCGCGCGCAAGCCTCTCGACGACCTTGTCAAACGTCCACTCGGGCCTCCACCCGAGCTCGCGCACCGCCCTGGCCGAGTCGTACACGCGGTCGACGCGGTCCGGGAACTTCCATCCGAGCTTCTCAAACACGGCGCCCGCCGCGGGGACGCACGCCCTGTACACGCTCTCCGCGTCCCCGCCACCACCGGCATTCAGCCGCATGAGGGCGTCTGCGTCGTTGGCGAACGGCGGCGGCGCCGAGACGATGTACTTCGCGAACCCGATCTGCGCAGCGCGGCGCACGGCGCAGACGACGGCAGACACAGCATCGGCGATGTCGAGGCGGCGGTGCGCCAGCTCGCAGACCTTGAGGTTCGCGTCGGCGGGGAACTCGGCGCGGCGGGCGGGGTCGTCGTCCTGCTCGGGGAAGAAGCGCGACGTGCGCAGGACGAGGCAGGACAGGGATGTGTGCAGGTGGTGCAGGCGGAGGAGTTCCTCGGCGGCGGTCTTGGTGGCGCCGTAGATGTTTTTGGGGACGGGCGGGGTGGGTTCGGTGATCCAGGCGGCGGGGGAGCCGCGGGCCGGGGCGAGGGCGGAGCCGTAGGTTGAGGTTGTGGAGATGAAGATGAAGGATTCGAGGGATGGGAGGGCGGCGGAGGAGGTTTCGAGGATGGCGAGGGTGCCGGTGATGTTGGTGTCGATGAAGGCTTGTTTCGGGTGCGAGGCGACGTGGGGTTTGTGCAGGGTCGCGGCGTGAATGATGTGTTTGATGGAGGGGTGGGAGGTGAAGAGGGACGTGAGGGCGGCGCGGTCTGTGATTGAGAGGGTGCGGGTTGTGGTTGAGGAGGGGAGGATGTCGATGCCGAGGGGGATGTGGCCGTGGGAAGGAAGGGAGAGCATGAGGGCGGCGCCGAGGTGGCCTGAGGAGCCGGTCACGAGGATGTCGTAGTCTGGAGAAGACATCGTGGCGATTTGATGACTGGTTGTAGAAGTTGATCTGTTGAAGGAGTTGGTTTGAAGAAGTTGACTTGAAGTAGTTGAGGTTTGGTGATGGTTAGTCATGGTGTTGAGACGTGACTCATTGGTCTGCCGCGCCAAGGGGAGAATGCCATCGATAGGGCGCGAGTAGCCGCAGATAGCTTGTACCCCATTCGTCTTTGAATTCATTAGCGTCGAAGTGAAGATTCGCAGCATTCTTTCCGAATTCCTCCAGTTGTTTTTTCCATGTCTTTCGCCACTTCGAAACCGTCATGGGTTGCTCGTTCCTACAAACACAACTAATACAGCGGCATACGCTGCCGTGCTAGCCAGTACATCTTTGGCCTCATTTAGGAAGTAAGCCATCAGTATACCAAAGGCAGTGACAAAAGCTGTCGTTGAGATGAGCGATGCATAAAGCCCGTTTTTCAACACCATAATCCACATGGGTCCAACGAGAAAGGCGCCCCCGGCTGCCGCAATCACGATACGCTCTTTGAAACCACGATACCATGTCTTTGCGACATTGCTGCCGCGTGTGCCAGTGATTGGGTCGTTGGCACCGGCGGGGCGAACGTCCCACGGTCTCAGGGAGTCAACGTGTTTTGTTATGTCTTTGGCCAGGGCACTATCAATGTTGCAGTTGAGAACGTAGTTATCCACGCCGTACTCTCCTGTGGCAAGGAAGGGGTCCCGAATAGACTTCGAGCGGCTCTCCATGTAGTCATGGTCCTGCAGCGCTTTTACTGTGATGGACCAACAAAGTCAGCGTGCCTCTTATCAACATAGAACTAAGAGACGCGTGTTTCCTAGGTATAGATTGGTGATTGAGGCTTAGGGAGCAGGAGCTACATACTGTACTGCTCGAGAGTCTGCTCCCAGCCGGGCGACTCGCTGCCGTTAAGACGCATCTTAACAACATGTCTCACCAGCTGGCACTGAAGCTTACGGATTCGCATCCGCTGCACCTCAGCAAAGCTGATCCGAAATCGCATTCCATCCTCGGAAGATGGTGTTGGATCGGACTTCCTACCGTACTGTATTTCCCGAAGTTTCGTGCTCAAGCCGTTGAGTTTAGCACCAACGGAACCGACCTTGGGCTCGTCCAACCTTGCGATCAGATTTGGAAGGTGATGATTTACGGCCCAATCGCCAGGGTCATCGCGATCGAGATGCATTGCGTGTCGCACACTGCTCGGCAACGGCATCTGGAAACTCTCCGAGACCATAGGTCCAGGAGGACCATGACCGCTTTCTCTGCTGCGACGCCGGCCAGCCGTCGTGCTGTCGAAACTACGGCGCCTTTCTAACCGACTGTTGACTGAAGACCTGACATGCTGAGATGAAATACTGGGGTTGTACTCCCGATCACGACTGGCGGAGCGATCTCGCCGGACAGACCGGATGCTATCAGGCCGGCTGTCGTTGTTATACACACCACCAGGGGACTCGCGCCGGATGTCTCCCGAGTAACTGCGCTTGCGAGAGCGGGAGCTGGCGGCCTCGTCGCCATGGTCTGTAGTAGGGAGATCAGTAACAATGACTATGCACACGAGAAGCCAAGCTGCCTACCAGCTTCGGTGATGGAAGTGCGACAGCCCTCCTTCTCGACGTCACGATAAACAGACATGCTTGGAAGTTGAGGGGCGGGCCAGATTTGCAACAGCGCGATTTTCCTGTGCCGGCGAAAGCGCGCCACGGATGGCGATTATATGTCCCGACAGCACCAACGGGTGTGACAGATCTTCTTGGTCGGGCGAGAGGGTAAGAAAAAGCTGTACTTATCTGCAGGCCTAGGACACAGCCAGCCTTATCAGGTGATCTACCATTGGGGCTTAGAATGCTGCGGAATGGAGAAGTATGCGACCCATCTGCAGAGTGACTGCAGTTGCAAGGGTCTTAAGTGCTGACGCCCTGCCTGGTGGCTGACAAAAGGATTATGTGCCCAAAGTTCCATGTTGGTTACCTTCTTATATATGGCCCCGTAGCCTGGTCCAAAACCGCTTCATTAAAACCCAGAGAAAAGCTCATTGTGCGCATCGAAAGAAATCCCGAAGCTCTAGACTACCTCGCTGCTGCCTTTATATCACAAATAAAAACACCAACACCCAATAAAGCATTCCTCGAGCGGGCACTGGAAGATAGCACGCTCTCAGAGTCCCAGTCCAAGCAACCTTCAAAGCAAACTTCACATCCGAGTCTTTTCCTCCGAATCTTCACAATATGTCCTCCAAGGCCGGCGACACAAGACGCCTCACCGTTTTCATCCGCGTCACTCGCATGCCGCTCAGAGTTGACATCGAATTCCCTGATAACGATCTCGCCAGATGCTACCGCCAAAGCATCGAGAGAAGTAAGAAGGTACTACCGGGAGAGCCATTCGCAGTAAGGATGGAGCTGCCCTCCTCAGTCATCGACCTTGAGATGTCGCAGTCTCTCGGGGGCATCATCATGCATTTCGACAAGGATTACGACGCGAAAATGTGGGTTGATGATGTCTGCCGGCTTGTCAACGGGAAGCCGAAGCAGGTTTATTTCAAGCAGTACTGGAGCGATGCGGAGTTTGCGAAGCTGAGAAGTACGTTGGAAAAGGAGCGAGATCAGGCGTACGAGGAGTTGAGTCCACGCCCAGACCGTGCAGGGCCGCCACCGGAAGCCGCATTGTATTCGGAGAAATATAAACCAGATATCTTCAGGAGAGGCAGGAGCTGAGTGTTGACAGTCCTAATATGCGAGGAGCGCAGGACGCAAATTCTAGTCGGGCATGAGTTTACCTACTGAAGCATCTATAATTTCAAAGATGTATGTTATATTATGGTATTGAAGCAAGGAAAACGGGTTACTTATCGATAAACCTCAAAAATTCTCAAACAGTGGTGATTTTGTAAAGCCTCGATTGCGTACATCGAAACAACATGCCATGTAGGGTGTCTTTGTCAAACGTGAGAAACCTCGCCATAAACTTTTCAATCAAATCTAATACCGTCGCAAAGACAATGAGGATGACGAAGACGATGAAGATTGTAACGTAGAGTGTAAAATCAAAGGACATGGTGAGTTTAGCCCTAGAAAAAAAAAGGCGGTCTCTAGAGAAATACGAAACTTCCATAATGGCGACGAATCTTATTGCCTCAAACAGACGTTGAAGTTCTCAGGATACTACATAATGATGGTCATCATTGCACCCTGAAACTCTTCCGCTTTACCTTGAGGTGCGCTTTTGATGTCTCTCTCACCTTTGGTATAGCGATCCTTGCGGTACCCAGCCTCTCGTATGCATCCTGCCCATCTTCGCCATCAACCCGTCGCAAAACCACAAGTAGCAAGTTACTTGTATCTTTTTTATTCAAATCCTGGAAGCCAATCATAATCTCTGTGCCCAGCTCTTTCATCTTCAGCGACGTCCCTTCGCCATCGTCCTTGAATATGAAAGCATCCCATTCAGCGTCCAGAAGGGATACCTGCTTCTCGTCTGAAGTGGGCGTAAAGAAGCCAAATATTGCCTCATCTTCATCTGAGAAAACTTCAAAGTAAAATCGACCGCCATCCTCGAAATCCATGTCGCGAAGAGTCGCAACTGCAGGATCTTTCGAAGTCACGATGTGCCCGTGAGATAGTTTGATGGTCATTGCGAGGCCCTCGAGATGAAGAAATTGCCGCGTCTCGGGAATGATGCTGTTGGCATTCGAACCATGATAGGCATAGAATTCATCGAAGTGCTGCCGTTGCCAACAGCCGGCCTCGTTGTTGACCTCTACTTCAATTTTGACGTTGGAAAAAGTGGAGGGTAGTGGCGGGACAGCCTCCTGGTTCTTCTGAAAAACCAACTCGCCCGCATTCATTTTGGCATTCTGAGGCCGATCGAAGCTGAGCTCCAGCGGTCCTTCCCATCCCGCCCAGGACCAGCTCGGAAACTTCGGGTTGCGTTTCGCAGGGTGCTTGAAGCTCCAGTCCATGGCCTGGAGGAGCCCCAAGGTAGCTGTTTGTTGCACTTCGTCATCGAAGATGGCCTCGCTTGAGACGCGCAATTTTGTGAATATCGGTAGACCCCAGAAATGTCCGAATGGCGGTGTCGTTGTTGACCCTCGGCTGAGTATACCAAGCATCCCGTTCAAGTTGTCGCTGGTAAAAGTGAGAGACCTGGCCATGTACTCTTCGATCAACCCGAAGACCGTCGGCCCCTTGTTCAAGCTCATTGCCATGGGAAAGTTGCGCACGCTTTGCGCTGCTTCGCCGTACATGGGCGGCCAGGTCGGCCCATCCTTGCCATACCTGAAAGCTGTACCGTACTTGAAGAAGATGTCATCCGGGGCAAAGACGGCTTCCGTACAATGTGAGAAGTTACACTCAAAATAGACCTGGTACTCCGTGAATATGAGACGCCGCGTAGAGAGAAGGCCCTCTTGATATGTCCACCCCCGTTCGGTCCACTTGGCGTGCTTAAGGAGGTTGCTGAGTGGCGGGAGAGAGGATACATAGAGCGTCTCCCCGATTTTGACCGACGGCTGCCGTAGCCGCGACCGGGTGCTTACTCCCGGCAGGCCGAAATTGGCGTCTTCCCCAGCGCAGGCGATGATGGCAAACACGGCCGCCTCGTAGATGATGTGCATGTTGGCGAGCTGATTTTGTGTCTCCTTTCTCTTCTCAGGATCCTGTTGCGCGTTGCCGCTTTGGTCGATGCAATACCTGTCTACCCACAGGTAGCCAACGCCGAGGTTCCTGCAAACTACAAATGCGTCCTGGACGACTCTCGGAAACCCGGTCTCAGGGGCCTTTGTGCCCCAGACGTAGCTCAAGGCGACGTATTCTTGGCCTTCCGGAAGACAGACTATTTCCTCTGTCGAGACGTTCATTACCCGGAATCCGGGGATGTCTCTGGCGGATCTTTTGTTCGGGTTTCCGCATCCAGTTGGGTGGTATGTGCGACAAGCATTCAACCAACCTTTTACGATGTCGTAATCGATGGTGTCAGTCGCGATTCGCCTCCCGGAGAAACGGCGATTTCTTGTATTGACAGGGATGACGGGATACAGGTACCCCGAGGACCCGGAGTGCTGGCGTAAAGAAATTCCTTCTTGCTCAGGATAATACACATGCGGCGGCTTCGGATCGATGGCCAAAATTGCTGTGTCTTTTAAACGGCGGGCAGCCAAAAGAGGTCCGATGTTATTCCCGTGCTCCGTCTCGCCCGTCGTCTCAAAGTTGACGTATGTAGCCGACACAACGTTGAGTTCGAAAGGCGAGTCGGAGTGACCATGAGTCGACGCTTCAAGCCTGGTGCGCACAGCCGTGAATACGTTGCAGAGGGGGCAAGATGCAGTTGCGAAGTCGTCTGGAAATTGGCCCAAGTCGGCCAACTTCCTCTGAATCGTATTTCGGTGGCATGGGGTGCTGCCTTCGTCTGGTACTTCGTTGATCATCGCGGCTCGGATATCCACCGCGTTTGCGGTGTCTGTAGCGCCTTCCATCCAAAAGTACCACTGAACCCGTGCATCTTTCTCGTCTTCTTTGCTTTCGGCTCCGGTATTGGCGTCTTTGGAACCGGCGTTATTGTATTCGGATAAGGTCTTCTCTTCCGATTCGGCGCCGTTGTTGGATTTGGCGTCTCCACCTTCATCATCTTCATTCTCCTGAGTGGGTACCACAGGATCCTTGGAGGTTGACGATCTGACTTTCATAAGGGAAGAAACGTCGGCATCTTGGGGGGGCAGATCAACTGGGTTCGGTAGAGGGTCCAGTGAAAGCCTGGCGCATCTTTCGCAGATTTGAGCCGTCTGATCGACAGGCTTCACTTCTGGCGGTGGATTTGTGTCTCTCGGAGGGGCACTTGTTGGATGATGTTCAATCTGCCGACGCATAGATCCAAGAATGTCGTTGATTGGGTATGTCAACGTCCGCTCCTCGTCATTTGGGTCCTTTACCGTGTGACTGGCATCTGCTTCTTTAAGCAGCCCGGACGAGTATAGTATTGATAGCCTGTCTGCCACCCATATCATTGAGTCGTTCACCCAAGGCATGGATTCATCCTGGAGATGTTCAGGCGCGGGTTGAAACATATTGATCGGCTTCCCCTGAGGGATAAATTTGCAGAATGGAGGTGTGGGTGGATGTTGGGTTTGGGATAACCGGCCAGGGCTGACCAGAAATCTCAAGGACGGTGATTGTGCTCTGCTGAAGCTGCGCAAGCTATACAGTGTTTTCGCAGCAGAGCGCAAGTAGCAGATTTGCCTAATGCCTTGACTTGCATTTGTGACCAATTGCCGGGATATCCGCCGTTCTCACCTAGACGTGGGTGGTGGCTAGGCACGCATCCTTCTGCAGCTCCCTCAACGATTCTGTTGGACAACGGGCTGGGAAAAGTGGAACTATGCATGATGTATCATCGGATTGAAGTGCTGCCTGGTGCTAATATGTCTCACTCATAGGCGGCCGAAACTTTCCGGTCGCCATAATTCGACATTGGCAAGCTTGCTTCCTCCTCCTCAGAAGCCTGCAAATATCAGTCTTTGCAATCGTTTGGAAAATTTGAGCACGCCAAGAGGTACCGCAAGCAATCTGTGAGGCGCGATGGCCACCGAACAAAGCCTCGAGTCTATATTTCCCGCCTTGCGACTGGGGTTCGAAGGACACTCAAAAGAGCCCAAAGAAAATGAGATTGGCGACAAGATTGCATGCGGCAGAAAATGCACGTCAAAGACCCTCTATGGAAGCTGGGATAACGAAGAAGATGACTTCATCTGGTCGGAAGAGTATCCGGACAATATCGCAGAGGCGGCGGAAAATGAAGAGACAATGCAGTGCGCTATACTTGTCAGAAAAAGTGAGCCTTTACATGTTGTATGGCATACCCATTCACACGGGCCATTCTGACAACATCCTGCAGAGAAAAGTACGGATCCAAGAAGATCTCTGGAGATCCACAGCATAGTGATTCAGAGCCCGTTGATCAAAGAGGTGCTCAGCGAAGTCTTTGCGGGATATCCTGATTGCAACCTTGAGCTGGAGCGAACGGAGATCGACGCTCCATTTGGTCCGTTTGTCCACCGATGGGACGGTTTTACATCTGCTCTCGAAGATGAGAAGTTGGGCGAGGAAACTCGACAGCATTTGCAACTATTGAACGACGCCATTGCTCCTGAGGTGACGGACATCATCAATAAGGTCAAAGACTACAAGAAGAACAATGTCGTTGACTTCAAGTACCTCTGGGCCATTTTCGAACCAGGGTGCACTGTCTTTACTATAGAACATGGTCATCAAATGGCAGCGTGCTTCGAGACGTCGACCTACATTGAGACTCAAAACGGAAAACAGCTACTTCTATGGTGCAAAGCAATCAACTGGGAAAAGTCCGACTTTGGCTGGGAGAGCAAGAGACTTACGATCAAGGAGTTCAAGAGCACCATTCCCATATCATCACTACCCGTCTTTCCCTTGAAGAACCACAAAGGGCACGCAATTATCGAGCAGAATCTCATCCAAAGAGGCAAGCTATTTGAGAGTCTCTGCGGACTGCAGTACAGAGATTACGATGGGCAAGCTGTTCAAGTTGTACAACTTCAAAACAGTTTCGAAGTTCGGGAGAAGGCCGTCAGGGTACAAGAACGCATTGTCATTGACGCTGAGGCGTATGACAGGTTCAATCCCCACGACCAGACATTCACTCATCCGATCTTGGATGACAAGGAAAAAAATGTGGAGTCGTCTCGCTTTGGACATGCGGAGTACACCGTGATCCCGATAGATTTCGTCAAGAAGGGAGAGTCCAAGAAGACTCTCACCGACTACGAACAGCTCCTATGCGTGCCGTTCGTCCGCGGCTACGCTCTCAAGACCAAACGATGGCTTCGACTCAGTGTCTCCTCCGTGAAGGAGATCGAGTTGAACGAAGGCGCCTTCAGCAGCTTAGTGCTGCCAGAAAATTACAAGAAACTCCTACGCGCCTTCATGGAAAGTCAGCTCCAGTTCAAAAACGACTTCGACGATTTCGTGGCGGGAAAGGGGAAAGGGATCGTCATCTTGCTTTCTGGTAGCCCGGGAACAGGCAAAACCCTCACTGTAGAGAGCGTTGCCGAAGTCCTCAAGGCGCCACTGTACAGTCTCAGTGCTGGAGATCTTGGGACCGACAGCGGCAGCGTTCAGGAACGTCTAGATGATGCTCTCCAGCTCGCCGCTGATTGGAATGCGGTGCTACTGATCGACGAATGCGATGTGTTCCTCGAGGCCCGGAGCAGTGATAATCTAGACCGCAACGAGCTCGTCAGCATATTCCTCAGAACGATAGAGTACTACGAGGGGATAATGTTCCTGACTACCAACCGCCTGGAATCGATCGACCCTGCCTTTCACTCAAGAGTACACCTAAGTCTCGAGTATCCTGGTCTCGAGCAATCATCTCGAAAGGAGATCTGGTCGGGATTCTTGGACAAGATTGGAAAGGGGGATCAGAGGCATGCATTGAGCGAAGAAGATATCGGAAAGCTTGCGTCGCTGGACTTAAATGGTCGCCAGATTAAAAACATTCTGAAGACGTCCAATCTACTGGCTTGTTCGGAGAAGACAAGGCTTAGATTTGACCATGTGAAGACTGTACTTGAAGTATGGCGTTACAAGGTCCAATGATTTACCGAAGCGCAGCGATGAATATTCTTGCCCTTTCTTTGGTAACAAACGATATAATCAGTCCAAAAGTATAGAAAAGCCACGGCCTTGGGTTCAATTTCAAAGACCAACAATACTGTGATTCAACTCAGTCACAAACCTCTAAGGGAGCACTGGTGTGTGCAGCCCACCCTCAACTAGATCAAACCACAGACCACGATAGCCATTGTCTCTCGCCGCCTTGACAAGACTTGCGAAACCTTCGAGTTTCATTCCATATCCAGACTCTACGGTGGTCACTGGGGACACGTATTTGATCACCCGCTCACTCAGAGAGTCGATCTCGAGAGAACTGACCAAGAGAGGTAACCCTATTGGGAGTCTCTTCATTTCCACCGGAACCCACTCGACAAAGCACTCCAGCTCGACTGCGATTTTCGTTGCCAGTCGTAGTGCAGTATCGTCTTCAACGCCGAGCGGATATTGGAGGCGATGAATGATAAGGAGAGTTGCCAGACGGTATACTCGAGCTTGTAGCATCATGGCCGATACTTCTAGCCGACTAAATTGGCTGAAGAAAGTGGTAGGCGGTGCCGGCTCCCACTCACGCACTCGTCGCTCAATGTCGGCTAGTTGATTACTGAAATTCCTGGGGCGGAGATGCATAGGATTATCAGATACGACTGACCCTGCACAAGCCGACCTCTTAGCTTCGTGGCTTAACATGCAGAGCTCATAGAGAATGCAGATGAGACCACTGCAGAGTCCGAAAGTTCTATCCACCGTAGAATAGTCGCCGCGTGGGGGCTGGATAACAGGTATTTCTCGCTTTACGAGGCACTCAACGGTGTCGACAAGTATTGAAGTAATGGTGATAGGGTATAGGCAGGGCTGAGCGAGCAGCGAGGGAAGCCAGTCCTTGACCAAAAGAAGTGATTGCCGAAGGATGGCATGTGCGGATGTGCCCAAGAGGATAATATGGTAGACGACTAAGACCTGTCCGAGCATGATAACGGCGGCAGCGTCGTGTGCATCGAAGATGGCGGCAGCTTGCAACTGCTTGAGACAGTTGGATCCTTCGCGAGGGTTCACTTCGTCAAGAGTTTTCATTCTATTGTGCTGGACATCCCACAGGGCTAGGGCAACCAGGTAAGCGTCCAGGAGAACACCGCCCGAACGGGCGACAACGACCGTTATCGCGCCGCGAAAGCTGTCGGAGAAGCTGGGGCCAATCATAAAATGCCTATGATAGCTGTAGAACGCCTGCTGATCTGACAGGACACGGTGAAGATGCTGCTGCCGTTGGGATACTAAAGGGCGTTCCGGACTGGGCAGTTGTAAAGGGAGGTTGCAGTCATAGAGAACCTCCGCGATGTTGTACAGGCCTGTGAGAGCGTATCCGAACGTCCCAGAGGAGCGAAAGATATTGTTGCAAGATTGTGGATGAAGCAGCTCCGTAAGATCGCTTGTATCAGCTTCGACGTCGGTTCTCTCGCAAGTCGCAACAGTGAGGTCCGCCTCCTCCGCGCCGTCGATTTCGTCAGCCTCATTCGCCACATCTTTCTCGACGCCCCTGATGTTCTGGTTATTCCCAATGTCGAATCTCCCTATGCTATGGATGCCGCTGTACTTTCTAGTACAGTCTTCGAAGTCTGAGTGCATTGGCGTGTCGTCGATTTCAAAACTGAGAATCCCGCAACTGCCATACGGGACCTTCTGAGCCACAGGCGGGCGACCCATACGCCGCTTCCGTCGCTCGAAGGAGCACCTTGTTCTTAGAAGCCTGCATTGGCGACACTGGTGCTCAGTAGCGTCGAAGAGACATCGTTCCTTTCTACGATAGCACCCGTCGCAGGCTGTCCTAGGCATGAGAGTTGGATACTGAGGGGCCCACAGAGCGTTCTAAGCTCAATTACAATTGCAGTGAGATGACTAACTCTCAGGGAGGAGGAGGTGATAAGGGCGGAATTGGCGTCGGGTGTGACAGCGCAACTGATTAATATCGCGGTCGAGATGGCGAGAGGATAAAGGGAAGAAGAATCATGGTAGGAACGGCGAAGTGGGACGATATAAGTAGCAAGACAGGGCAGCTGTTGTGGAGACAGACAGGGGAAGTACTTCCACCAACAGTCCAGGACCAACACCCAATGCCCCTTGATCATGGCTTCAAGAGTGAAGGGAAACGAAACAGACTATATCGTATTGGTTACATATTCATTGATTGCACTGATGTTGTCGAAGTTGTGCGGAATGTGGTAAATATTGCTAGATGACAATCGACTGCCGCCCCAAAATCTGTGTTATCCTTACTTGTACCCTAGACCTACTTTCCAATTGAGTCCCGGATGATCTCCTGGAACCAGTTTGGCAATCCTCGAAACCCCGACAGCCAGGAAGCTCGGGACGGGATAATGAGCTGAGCGCCGCGACGGGAGAAAATTTGATCTGCGACAACCTTCGCCACCTCTTCGGGCTTCATCATCTTGCTGGTGCCGCCACGCTCAATCGCCTTCCTGTCATCCTTCGTCATATCAGTGGCCACCCACATGGGGTGGGCCACCGTCGTCAGCACACCTGGCGATCGATAAATATGCTTGATTTCGCATGTAAGCCCTTCGTGAAATGCCAGGGCGCCTGCCTTTGATGCCGAGTAATCAACGGCTGTCGGCAGCGAGATAAAAGAAGCCATACTCGCGATTGTGACGATATGCCCCTTATTCTTCAATATCATATTCGGTAAGAATGCCTTGGTCGTATACCAGAGTGCCATGAGGTTCACCCCAAAGAGTTTTGACGCCTTCTCTGGAGCCAAGTCGAGGATGGAGCTTCGATTCGCCATGCCAGCGTTATTGATCAAGATGGAGGGGTGGCCGACCATCTCTCGGATGCTATCTGCAGCCTCAGCCACAGCAGAAGCCGAGGAGATGTCGCATTTCCAGTAGAAGACACTGTCGATCTTTTGAAGCTCCGAGGGTAGTTCCGCTACATCAAGGATTGCGACTCGCAGGCCTCTTTGGACAAGGGTCAGGACGATGGCTTTCCCGATCCCATTGCAGCCACCAGTGACGACGGCAATTTCTTCAGACCAGCTCCAGTTTCCTCTTGCGAAAAGGCTCCAATTGTTGGTTGCACGAAGATTCTGGATGCGGTTCAAGACGCGACCCACTCCAAGAGCGACCAAGATCTCGAGGACTGTCTTGAGGCCCCAAACACCAATCCTGCGCTGGACGACATCTGATTCGGTGACTTGGGTGACGAGATGAGGCGGACTGTACATTAAAAACGCAAGGGCTGATGCTGAAAGAGCCGGGTTCAAAACTGCGCCGCCAACAACGATGTTTAGGAATTTGACAGCTCCTTCAACCAGAGTAGCCATGATGATTATGCGGTAAAGAGAGTAAGACGAGGATGCTGAGATGCGATGATTGACTGGATGATGAGATGCATCCCTTCATTCCGTTTGAGTGCATATGCTCTAATTTATATCTAATATTGTCACTTGCCTGTCGGACAACCCTCGCACATGATGCCAAGTTCTCATCATTGTGCTAATTCCTCGGTTCTTTCTGCACTTCAACTCCTGTCTAATTATCGCACAGCAGTCCCGATGACCCCGGCAAATTTCAACCACTTTTGGCATAGCGCGATTTCGCGGACAGGGCTCGTCGGCGACTTTCTTCCCAATACGGAGAAGGCCTGTTGGAGCCGGGCGCGGTTCGGGTTCCACTGCCACTGCCTGCTCCCGCCGCTTGACTGGCACGATGTGGGATGTGAGACCATGGGAGCCTGACCTCTATTGATTAACCTTGAAATCTTGCAAAAGACCTGACATTGATAAAATGACTGTAGACGAAGAAAGCGTATTACTATTTTCTGCCTTTTCCTTTTTTCTAAGACCGCCTAATTTCCCTGTGTCTGCGCGGCTATATTTCCTATGTATTTGATTATTCCTATAAAAGATGATAGTAGCGATTACGGAGGAAAGTGTGTGATGTGATATGTGGGTCCTCGCCTCAGCGCACGACGAATACGACGAAAGCGACGAAAGCGACGAAAGCGACGATAACAACCATAATGATCCAACGTAGAGAGCAGTCTGATATTGCCATCGTTGGAGCCTGAGCTACAGGAACCAACACAGCCCGTTACACATGTCACCTCAAGCGCTCCAGTCATATGATTATGCTCAATCGTATTACAAGCCCAAGGCCCCAGGCAAGTCACGAAGACAAAGCATGTGGCCAAATGATAGATTCAAAGGTAGCATTCGTTGTTTACTTCAGGATTAAGCCTAACAATTTGATTTTGTAGCTGATGGTCAGTCCTTGTAGCCAGTGACGTTCCACTGCCGAGTGACCACTCGACAAAATTCGTGGATGGCATAAACATTGTCCCTGTTCAATGTCAGGTTGCTCTGGAGTCTGACGCGTTCCTCCATGTCGAATTCCCGTTTGTTCCACATCTCCCAAGTAAGGAAGCTATGCGGGAGAAAGTTCGCATGTTCAAAGTCGATGATGATGATCCTGCTGTCTGGGTTCTCTCTGTCCTCCATAATGAAATTGTGTAGGTTGAGGTCGCAATAACACAATTTCAGGCCCTCAGGGACAAGGTTGGCCTGGATCATATCTGACCGTTCCTGGAGAGACGACCAGTCAGTGTCTTGTTGTTTCTCATATGGCTATGCCAAACATACCTCGACGATCTTTTTGTTGACGAACTCGTTGAGTTCTTCCAAGTTTGCAAACTCTCTCGGTGCATCGGAATCGTCCTTGCCAAAAGCCCAGTTCTTGATAAAGCCGCCCCCGACAGGCCCAGGGCTGACATCGCGGGGGACTGGGAATGAGAGAAGGAAGGAGATTGCATCTGCGACCCGGTTCTTGAAGGGAGCTTCCTTTTCGGCAATTTCTTCAGCTGATAATTCTGTTTTGCCGGAACTCTGCTCTGCATGCTGTTCTTGGGGAGGCGATGCAGAAAGCCCCGGCGTCTCCTGTCCATGTGCCTGGCTCTCATCGTGCGTCTCTGAAGTAGCCAGTTCAGCCGACCCTTCTGTTCGGTTTGAGTCTTCGCCGCTCTTGTCTGCAGATTGGTCTTCAGGAGGTATTGCGGCAGACTCTGACTTTACTTGTTCATGCGCGTGGTTTTCTTGACGCCTCAGTAATGCAGCCCGTTCGTACTTCCTCTTCGTTTCTTCAAGCACAGCACGTACTGCTATAAGAGGGTCTGGTCTGATATCGCTTGAGATTTGGGCCACGGAGGTGCCCGTGACGTATTCCATCACAATAATGCCGTAAGGCAGCAACTGCGATTTTTCAAAGCCGCGTAGTTTGACGTTAAGCTCTATGTCGATGAAGTCAAAAACTCGCGGGACATGGAATCGCTGCCTAGATCCCTCGTCCATCTTGGACAGCTGTTCGTGTACATAGTGCTGTGTTTTTGCTTCGCTTCTCAGAGAATCGCTCTCATGTCCGTACTTAACCCAGATGAACATGTCCGCCGGCAGGCTCTTCGGAGAAAAGCGGAAGCCTCGCAAATTGTCGTAATACGGCCTTTTTGCGCATTCCGCGACATCCTGCAGCGTGCTTTGGATCACTTCTTCGTGATCGGGCTTCCAGCCAAGAGGATACTCCATTTCGTGGACAGAGAGAATTGTGCTGGGATCATGCCGCGAAAGGATGATGTTTTTTCCAAGAGCAGCAGAGTGTGAAAGCTGTTGGGGCTTTGCTACCTTAGGTACACCTCCTTGAATGTGGATACAGTGCGGGGTAAAGTGTAGGCCGAATCTACTGTGCACACCCAGCGCTTAATACTTGGGCTCCGATAGGTCTGTTGGTTCTTCTGATTTCATCCCAGTCTATCTTTATGAGAGAAGTCTTTCAAAAATGGTGATTTACGTATTGTGATGAAAATATTGCTAGTGCTTTGATGATATACTAATTTTGGTTTTGTTGCGCGGCCATTCGTGCCTCCCTCCTCCTTCTCTTCTGCTTATTTCTGATACAACAATACGCTGTGCAGCCCCCCATGACCAGAACGAAAGTCAAGGGGGTAGCGATGATGATGGCCATGAGCTGTTGACCCCACGCCCTGCCCCCCTGAGTTGGATCGCGACACGTAGCATCGCATTCCGGGGTCTCGATCGCCGGCGAAGGATCGCCCGGGATCCATGATGCTACTGAAGCCCCGGACGGAAGGTCAGGAGGGGACGGCGTCAGAACGGCCTGGTCTGATTTCTCCCATGCGATCCTCCACGCAGGCTGCATAAGCAGACCCTTTGTGAAGGGTACTTCAACATCATGAACGACGCCGGTATATGTCTCCTGATCTTGCGCTTCCAGGCTCCCGACGCAAGCGGGGAAATCCATATCGTAGTTAAGGTCGCCAGTTGACCACAAAATCTCACCACTAAAGAAAATAAAGAAATCAGTCAACTGAGGGCGGGCAGAGTCGAATAAATGGGGAGATCCCTACGCTGCGCAACAGTATGCGGTAGTGATAGGTATCTGCTGGTTGAGGACAGTCATCTGGTGTGCGTGCCACCCCTCTGGGCATACAGCAGGACTCTTTAAGCCTATAGCTGGGGTTGCGAGGTGACTGTTCCAACCGGAAGGTTGGCACGTCGCAACAAACGTAGGATCGTTGGGATCATGAAAAAGCGCCTCAGGCGAAGCACTGCCTACGAGTCGGGTCCATCTGCGGCGTGTTTGGCAGTGAGGCGGGACAACGTAAGGTGTGGTCAATGGCAGGGGTGTCTCCGTTGCTATCACTGCCACCGTCCCTTCCGTCGTCGCGTCTGCTGTCGCGTCCGTTGTCGTTGATGTTGCTGTTATCGTCGCCATGGTCACTACCTCATGTAGGAGACTGTTCACCGACGCGAGTGGGAGTCAAAAAGATTGTGGAGCACATTCACGCGGGGAGAGAACACTGGAGTGATCCAAGACGAGTATGGGCGACTTTAAATCACTGAGAACGAGAGATCAGCGTTTAATTACATGCTGGGAGGCCTAGTAACAGTTGGCACTAGGTACCCTTTTGTTCTGGCAAAAGGTTGCATAGGGGGTTGCAGGGCTACTCAGATGCTACCTTCCCGTAATATATCAGGTGCGGCAACCACCGGGAACGGTTACAGAAAAGGGAATTCTTGACTTGGCGTTGGGGTACAATAGAGAACTCTCGCCACTAGTCAAGTGGCACAGTAATTCAGCTCAACCACCAACTGATTTGACCGCCTTCCCGAAATGACTGGCAACCAGCGAAGCACCAACGCGTTGTTAACGATTCAGTTTAACTGGACACTGTCGGTTGGTGGGAAAATCAGCCGATGTATCAAAAGCGCCAGAAAACGGTGGTCATTGGACTGTGCCACGATACAGGAAAAGCAATTCGCAGGCTGCATCAATTTGGGCCATCGCTTCGCGGAACGCATCTTTATTGAGCGGCTAGCAAACTGACAGCCGGCAGATACTCGACCCCTAATGGAACGGGTTTGTGTTGTTTGTGGTGAGCACCGTCCCGTTGCCAAACACTGTGCCAGCTTTCAGAACCGGTTCACGGTAAGGGCCGTAAGTCTCCGGCCTTTTATCCATGACCGTGCCGTTCGCGAAGATAATTCCATTCCAGGGAGAAGGTTGTCGGCGAGAATTCTTCTTCCACAGGGGATGCTTTCTTTTGCTAACCCAACAATTCTCACTGGCCATGTATAAGTTTAGCCCAACAGCTAGAACTCTTATCTCTGCGCCAAGTGAGTCCCAACCATGCTCGTCAACCAAGCGAACCCCAATGTAATCTTGCATGAGGACATTCGGATAGGTATCGGGGCTCATGGCAGGGACACCGCCCCAGTAAAGCGTTGGGTTGGTAGGATAGACGGCGAGCGCCTCCAGTCCGAAGTTGCTGCTAGTGGTGAAGTCGGGTGTCAGCTGCCATTGGGCAACCATGAACTCCTGCTTTTCTGTCCCGTACTTTTTGTGTCGAGCGGGATCGGCTAATTCTGCGGCCGTCTTCTTGATGATGGTATCTGGAATCGTGGCGGTTGGCCAATGATCGAAGCGATACATGTGAACATTGTCGCGGTAGATGCCTTCCTTAGGCAGGGAATCTGGTACCCCGTCGGCAACCTCGCCTTCAAGAATTACCAAGACGCAACCGGAACCGCCATTCATGTCCATGAACTCGCCCATAAGTCTGTCTTGAAACTGTCTGCCAACGCCTTTTGGGACTTCGAGACCACTGCATCTGTTCTTGATCTTGCCCAGAACAGCAAAGAGCTCCTCCGTCTCTTTCTGATCAAGAGGCCTGCCTCCGCCACCTTTCTCGAATGGTTCGAATGCAACCAAATCTTTCAGCCACAGGAATATGACTTCGCCAGGGCTTTCGTCTGTGAACCTGAAATTGCCATCGTCAGCGGGATTTCTGACGAGTCCAAGCTCACCAACAACCAAAAGAACTGAAGATACAGGCGCGCCCTATTGTAAGAAGCGTCTTCTTGGAACTTATTTGTTAACATCTGCAACAATATTCGTCAGGGTATCTCCTGAAGCCCCCGCAATTATGCTGTTTTTCGTATTCACGACATGGAAAATGTGAAATTCACCATCGTCTTGTCCTATAACTCTAGCAGGACGAAGGTCAAAGTAACGTGCACCAGTGCGCAGCTGTGTGCACAGCCCAAAGGCCTGGGTCTGCGTGGTATGTTTCGTGCCTGTATTCAAGTGCCATGTTAACAGAGGATTTGATAGAAGACCTGAAGGGCACAGAGCAAAGCAAATACGACAGCAAAGAGAACTCACCTTGCCATTTGAATTTTCCAATCTTGCTCATCCCAGAATCGTGGGTACCAGGCATGACAACATCCTTCACACGTCTGTTTCTAATGCTGTCGTAGATAGACCTCATCCAAGCGTCTTGCGTGTTCTCAAAGCTCAAAGAATGATGGTAGCCGTACGTTTCACTCCCGGTGATGACAAATGAGAGAGAAACCTCCGTGTCCGGATCTTCGTACTCTCTCATGCCGAGCCCCCAGCCGCTCAAGTCCACGACAGTGCGGAGGTTGTACTTGTCAGGGAATTGAGTTCTGGCTTTGATGTTGAAACGATGACTCGTGCCCACCACTTCATAATATGCCTCGCCTTTATCGTCGACTCTGCTTGTGCCGCTAACAGCATATTCCATAACACATTGGCGAGAATGTCCGGGAGGGATATCGCCAAAGTCGCCACGCATCTGATAGAAATTGGACTGATCCTTAAGATACTTGAAGCGATAAGGCGTCATGTTGACAATGGTGATGCATTGATTGTTAGAGGCGCTGGGCGTGGTAGGATCGAGCATGGGAACGTCGTAATGGCTCCCTGCTCTCATCTCCTCGCGGGAAAATGTAGCATTGGTTTCTTGACATTTGTCATCTGGATCAATCGTGTATCCACGCGTGCAAATTGTGTCTGGGCAGTAACCTCGAGAGCATGCAAAATCACACAGGCCGTGATCTGTGTCGGTGCGAAGCGGAGAGCCAGAAGCAATCCCTGCTGCAGGCGGCTGGTGCAGCCCGCCCTCACCAGTACACGTGCAGACAAGTCGAGGGCAGAAGCCGAAGTTGCAGGCGTACGAACATAGACCCCCAAACGCTCCTGTTCCTGTTCCAGCGGTGCAAGCTGGGGGAAGAAACTCGGAGACAGTTGGTACAATCGTCGGTTGCTTGGTTGGGGAGCAGTACTTCGATGGGCAGTAGCCGTGGTTACAGGCCCATGAGCATAAGCCAGAATAGTTTTCGCTCTTTCCCTTGGCAGGAAATTCGTCCACCTCCAAAGCCTTGGGCTCAGGAATCGGCTTGCCAAGTGCCTGGCATAAGCAGGATGACACCGGGCAGTAACCGTATTTGCAATTGAACTCGCAAAGCTCCGCGAACCCCTTAGCGCCGGTTCCTTTGATGCACTTCTGATCTTTCCGAGCTAGAGCTGGAGTGGCGGAGACCGAAGAGCTCAAGGATGCACTACCGACCCAGGGATTCCAGTTTGTAAGGTCATCCTGGCAGTTGTTGTTGATAGAAGCACCGTCGATCTGTGCCAAGGTCTGTCCACCCCTCTGGATCCTAATTGAAACAGCGCCAGTGCCGGTGAAGGGGACACTGCCGTGATAAACACCAATTCCACCGTCCGGAACCGATGTCCACTTGCCTTCCTGGGCTTTGCTTCCCACCATGACAGAGACTTCGGCGGCTGATCCAAGTACAGCGGAGAAGAAGATCTTGTCTTGCATGACAGAGGCAGGGGAAAATTCCTTCTGGAGCTGACTAGCAGTGTTACCTGTCGTATTGCCGTCTGGGCAGGCTGTAGCTTGGCTAGTTCTATACCAGCCGACGAGAGCCTCTTTGTTGACTGTTCCCTTCCCGTTCTTATAGTAGTCAATCTAAAACGGGAGAGTCTGGCGCCAGCCGTCGTGAGGTCTGTTGTCGGCATACATAAATGGAGTTTTGCCGACTTTGAATGCATCCATAGCATGGCTGTACATAGGGCCGATATGGTGAGACTCGCCATAGTCATTCCAAGAGATAATCTGAACATATCTGCTCGCTGTCAGTATAGGACCTCATACAGATAGCATGAATATTGCTTACTCAGGCTGGTTATACACCACTTGTATCCATCTGTCATACCACAAGTCATCGCCTCTCCAAAGCCAGTTCTTCTTGAACCCAGGCATATTAGTGTAGAACCAAGGAGAGACTAGCATCATGTAAGGCTTTCCGCCGCTTCCGTCGGGCTTGAGGTACTGGAAGTAGGATGCGTCGACGTAGGTGTCCATGTCGTTAGCACCCCACGGCCAAGCGGCCCAATTGAAAAGCCCATCTGCCACCCCATCTGCCAGCTCAAGAGCAGGCCTGGCTCCTTTAGAAGACCAGTCAGGGATAAAAAAGCAGCCGACTTGCTTCTTGATATCCTTCCAATCGCCTGCGTTACCAGGACCCTCGAACGTTGAGACAAGTGGCTTCCCATCGCTGTGCTTGAAGTACTCAGCTTGCGAGGCATACTTCTTGAGCAAACTGATGACGGTTTCTTTAGGCCAGGGGCCTCGACCAGCGTAGTCGAAGGAGAACATCAACTTGAAGTTCTCAGACTTGGCAGCCTCGAAGGCTTGCTGTAGAGATTTATCGTTCATGGACTCTCCGTGTGCCATATTAAGTGCGAACGCATCGATATGGGCTTCTTTGGCAAGACGAATGTCTGTCCGCCAAGTATCTGCCGTGTAAGAAGCCGTGTTTCCCACCTGGGGGTGTGTTAGATCCCGAGTACATAGGTAGCTATAGCGCATAGAAGCGCATAAACAAGTCTTACCATGAAATGGGCAAAGACAGCAGCCGCATTAACGCGACAGGCAGCCGCAATGGCACTGGTGATGATAAACGTGAACTTCATGTTGGAATGAGACGAGGGAAAATTGCAGTTGGAAGAAGACTTTGGACGAAGCACTGCGTCACGGTTGCCCAACATATTTGTATTTAATCGCCAAATACTCGTTCAACTGCCAGCTGCGCATGTTCAAGATAACTTTTAGTGACCAGATGTGCCCTTGCAACCGCGAGAAATCGACGGCCTTCTGCGTCTCGGCCTGGGGTCTCGGCCAGGCCTGAACACTATTGTCAAGAAATCTTGCCACCAACGGTCAACCATTCTTTCGACACTGCATCGGTCAACGCACTGGTTGTATGCATGAGGCACAGTATACGGAGGTTCTTCTTATCTGGGAATGATGCGACTGTCGGATGACTGCTGCAGCTTTCGCGAAAAAGGCTCCAGAGAAGGACAATACCAAGGTACGTTTGCATTTTTCAACTTGGTATCATACCTCGTAGACAACCACTTCCATTTTAGAGCCACAACCGACTGGTCCTGTTAGCCAATAGAACTATACCGAGTTCTTCAATGACTTGAGAGAAATACGAGTGGAAACATACCTACGAAATGAACTCGTACACGAGATACCATGATGTTCCTACTATTTGACGCACCGTAACGGACATCGGATTACGCCACGAGCTGCTACGTCCTATGGCCCAGACCATCGGGTCTGATCGCTGTCTATCACGGCAGCCTTGGCAAATAACCTATAGAATACAGTACCAAATGGAACCAACCGACACCAATAATACCACCAACACGACCAACCTTTAACCTGCCCAAAGCGGTAAGTCTTGGCCGATGCAATGAAATTGCTTGACCGGGAAATTCGAACCGCACCATGTAGCCTGTTCATGCGGGACATTTACAGATACTGAAAGAATGCCATGCAAGCGGTGCCTCGTTCCGAGCCGAGCCCGGCCAGCCCCAAGAAACATCTCAACACACAACAGGCTAAAGGTAGCCCCAGTGGAAATGCCTTTGGTTCCTGCATGGACTCGGCGCTTGAGCATGACATGCGGATAAAGAGCTTGATGGGCCCCAGTCGCTTCAGTCATGATCGGAAGTCGTTCCCGACTTCCAAAACTAAAGTCTCGGCGCGTGCCGTTGTTGGTGGCTTAAATGAAGTTCCATCATCACCACCATCACAATGTAACGCAAAGAGACCCTGCTGCTGTTGGAACCAACACGCATATTCAATTTCACACGCTGCTGGCTCACCTGAACATTGCTGAAATAAAGTCAGGGTGGCGAGGAAAGCGGTTGGTTCAACCTGCCAGCGGACGGTGAATCCGAATCGCGAGCTCATCTAGACTTCAGCCGAGGGCAACGAAAAAGACACCGCCGCGGGGGCAACTCTACGAAAGCTAAAAGCTTCCTGATATTATGCCGAGGCTACTGCAAACATCAAGCGAGATATGGCAAAGTTTTGAATCGGCTCTCACTCCGACGGTAAGGCTGTGCGCTACCTTGACAGAGTCCCCCATCAGAATTTATAGTACCTTACATTAGTTGATGTTATGCATGATCAAGTACGCATAAGCGCACGATGGCTGTAAGTAGATCAAGTAAACGCGGGCTTCGAGTTCCGTCATTAAAAGAGGCACAGATGGACCATTCAACCTTCATATCATGTTCTGAGAATTGGCTAGTTCTTCCGATGAGGGCCATAATTGGAGACGGAAGAAATTTGCTTTCGGTTGAAGTGCCTCCGGACTGTTCTGGCTCACGAGAACGCTGCGGTCGAGAAGTTCATGAACCAACAGGGCGTAACATCGTTGATCCTTGGCTTTGGGGGCGGCCGTTTACGTGGAGAGTATGGGTAGAAAGGTTGCATTGAACCACGGGAGGAGGATCCAAATTGATACAAGGCTGGGAACTTTTGTGAGACGGAGATCAGGTCGCCTCTGGCGATGTAGAAAGAGATCCATGCCTCAAAGAGGATGTTGCATAGTTTGCAGCGGGAAAAGGGCTGAAGCTCGCTCGAAGAAAGTTGCCACGGTGGTGCTGTCAAACTCGGCAACAGATTGCGAAGGTCTTATCTACATTGAATCAGCCACAGCCATGCATCATGTATGATCTGCCAAAAGAGACACACCGGTTTAGGCCCCCAAACTCCTTGTACTACTACTGGTACATTGACAATGTGATCAGTGGAGCAATGTGAGCCGGACGAACTCCATGAAAGAATCTGGTAGCCCGCTGATGCGAATGTAGCCTTTCGGCTTTGTCAAAGACCAGCGAAAAACCATCTCGGGCCCCGTGGATTCGAAAATGCGGCCGAAACCTGGTGCGAAAGGACCACGTGGAAGTGTTACAGTACAAGGACACTCTTCATATTGGCATGCCAGAAATGTTGTCAGTGCCCACCTACAGGACAAGGTACAGCAGGAATTTTCTGATTACCCTGCCTTAAGTGAGTCGCTTCTAAGGATTTATCCATATTCACACGTGCCCGTCATAGGAAATGCTGATGAAATCTATATGATGAATGAAACAGCGTCAAAATAGGATAGTGATGAATTCGAGTACTCTTGCGAATCAAAAGTTGGCTTTGCTCATTCCGTTGCGTAGACAGGCTTGCGCGTCTGGTGCGATGACCTTCTAACAGCACCCATTTCCCATTCAATTCAGGAACCCAAAACAACGCCGTAAATTTTCGTCAACCCTTGCATCATAGCCCCTCGCGAAGCAAATATCTAATTCATCATAGCAGAGCAACATCTGAACAGGCTCCTACCTTAGGCTGATCCGTTGATCGAATACAACGGATGGCCTCAGCCTTCACATCATCGCGGGGCCCGAAGAGCCGTCGGGAAACATCCTATCCCCATCATATGCCGCCAGACCTGGTACTGGAGGGAAGGACGGCGCCTGCCAGCCTGCCCCCATCTCGACATGAGGCGATTGCGGAAAGAGGGGAAAGTCGTTGAACGACAAGGGTTGTGGCATTCCAGGCGCACAGGGAGACATGTCGAAAACGGCGTCAGTACTAAAGCTAATGATCGACGGCGATGCCTCCGCAAACACGGGTGACTCGAAGCTCGATGTGGTCATGACTGTATCGCAACGGCTGTTGTCAACCACGAGCGAGGGAATCGCAGATGTAGTCGTTGAATTAGACAAAGATCTGGACAATTCGAATTCAGTGAGCAAGTCCAACCCGTTCTGGCATCTGACCTGCCCCGCAGGACTGATTTGCTGCCGCATGGTATTTTCCAGGAAGTTCCTGAAATCGGCAAGAGTCGAGTCATTCGTCGACTCATCACGATCTGGATAGGAAAGACACAATCAGTCAAACAACCAGACTATGTGGCCACCCCCGGCCGGTCAACTTACAAGGAGATGGGACGGCGTCCAACGGGAAGATGGTCTTGTAGATCTCCGTCCACTTGGCGGCGCCCTCCATTCCCCGGTTCCTCTCCTGGATCTTTCCCCACTGCGTTTCGTCGATGCTGTCATCTCCTGTGTCCTCCTGCTTGATGCAGTGAACGTCGGAACGCTGGTGTTCAGACAGCCCTTTCAGGGTGGACCATCTCTGGAGACAGCAGTTGCACCTGTGGCCTTTGACCCGGTGGACACGCTTCAGGTGCTCCCTGGTTATATCACCGTTAGCTACAGGACGATCCGGCGTGAGAGAGTGGGTTGTTCGTCTTACTTTAATCTGTGAATCTCCCATCCGGGGCCACCGCATGAGTTCCACTCCTTGGTGCCGTATTTCTCCTGGTCATGCTTGAAATATGGGCACGCAAAGAGTTCTCCGGAGGGTTTGTCAGTGGGAGACCTGAGGGACGCGGACTTTTGGCGCTTGCTTTGCGCCGGCGATCTCGATTCCGCATCTCGTCGCCTTTTACCGCGCGGAGATTTGGGACTGGCCATTGGGATGGTATGGGATACCGGATTCGCCACGGCCAAGTCGCTGCCGAGTCCCAGACTTGAAACGCCAAATGACTGCTCGGGCGCCGCCCATGTCGAAGACCTCCCGTCCGGTTCCGGATTGAAGCTGGGCGGGGCCAGCTGGTGGGAATCCAGCGGCCAGGTGCCATGGTTGTAAGGGAACCGCATCATGTTTACGCTAATGGATCGCGGGGCCTCCGCATGGTCAATCTTATTAGGAACAACGGCCTTATTCGTCGCACGAGGATCAGGCTTGGCGTACTCCGGCTCATCAGAGCACTTGCGATGGATCTCCCTCAGCCTATCCACGAGCTGGGCACTAGTGATCCGCTTGTCGCCATCCACCTCTAGCATGCCATTCTTGACCAGGTCGAGAATATCGTGGATGAGAGGGCTGGCGGTGGGAGATTGGTGAAGCTTGTCGATCCACTATGACAAGAAGGTCAGTGAACCGTGAACATCTCTTTGGAATGGAGGCTGGAAGCCGTTTTCTCACATGCGTCACAGCAGGCTTCACCCGTAGCCCGCTGCCCTTCTTCTTGTCCCGGGCTTCAAAGAAGGAGTCGTCGACCTTGCCATTCTCTCGCGCCGCAACATCGCCACGCAGAGCGCGCTTCGCGCGAAAGCTGCGCACGCCCTTCCTCCCCAGAGCCATCCACGTCGCCGCGACGCTCATCACGCACCCGAGCGACCACATGTCCGCCTGCTGCCCGTCGAAGTGCCCGCCGTCATGCTCCGGGGCACGATACGTCGGCGAGAAACCCAGCGGCTGTTGCTCCGTCGTCGCCGCTGCCTGCTGACGGACGGACGAGAGCCCAAAGTCTGCGAGCTTCCAGCGGCCGTCCATGACGAGGATGTTCTCGGGCTTGAGATCGCCGTGGTAACCGTGCCCGGCGGCTGCGGCGCCGGCAGAGCTGCCAGCCGCCTTATTGCGGCTCTTGGCGCGCCAGTAGTGAATTGCCTTGAGGGCCTCCGCGATGCCGAGCATCTGCTTTACGGTGAGAGCCGCCTGTCCCTCATCTTTTGGTGCGTCGGTCTGGGTCAGGAGGGATTGTAGGTCATTATCAGCCCAGGGGAGGACGAGATACGGCGTCGAGCCGTGCTTGAAGGCGGTGAGAAAA